CTTTCCTCGTCCTTCCTCTACCAACCTCCACGTGTCGTGTCCTGCACCTCCGAACTGGGGTCCAGGAGGGACCAGGGTGGAGGAGACAGACCTGCACAAAACACGTGCCCAGACTGAGAGGGGCTTGTTACCCTCAGCCAGATCCTCTGGACCACAGGTTCTGTGGGGAGAAGGATACAGCATTAGGACAAGGCACTATGGTGGCACAACCTGTGTGGGTGGAAGTTCTGCCTGATGTCCCACTGCAGCCACCGGTGGCTTTGGTGACCTGCCAGCCTGTGGCTCAAGCCCCAGGAAGCCGCCAGGGCATGGCCGTGTGGGCAGGAGGTGCTGAGGACGGAGCTGTTAGCTACCCCCCGAAATATGTAAATAAGTTGTGCAGCATCTTTACGTGCATGGAAATTACTCGTTTGTCCAAAATAGGTTTGAGTGGGAGCAATCTACTCATATAGAGGTGACGCTCTACAGAGAAGATGGAATGCAGAGCTTGATCAAAGCCTCAGTGCTCATGCACTGGAGGAGGGACAATGGCACTGTCCCCAGACCTATTTCACATCAGGAACACTTCTCTTCCCAGCAGAGACGTGCTAAAGCACCCTGTGACCCCATGGTGATGAGCACTCAGGAGGGAAAACCCTCAGGGCTGGTGGCAGGGACATGGCTGTGCAGGGCTCCCACAGCCAGGCTCTGCAGCACCCTGCTGGAAACCACATCTGCAGGGTGTGCACGTGGCTGGTGAACTTCTGCAAACTCCTTATTTATCTGATTTTTGATTTGCTTTTTTTTGCACGTCCCTTGAAGCACCGTTGTCTCCATAGCTCCAGAGATTTGAGAAAATCATAGCTGATAACAAATCCACCTCCCAACCAAAATTGCTGCCACGTCTCAGAGCTGCAGGTGGGGCCATCCTGAACAGTTACTGTTGGATAATTTTGTACAAATTTCATGTATTAAACTTACACAGCCCTTTGGACCAAATGCAATGGTAGAATCTGTACTTACTGAGACTATTTTTCTAATGTGAGTATCACTGAAATGGCACCCAGGAGGGATAAAGCAGAGGGAAAGGCTCTCCAGATCATTTTTCTGGCAACGTTTAAAGGGGTTTAGCATTGTGGGCAAGCAAACCACACAACAGTGCTGCAGGTGAGGGTCTGCCATGGCATCCCAGCACCTTGTCTTAGAGAAAGGAAGAAAGCTGCCCAATTTGGGCTACACAGCTCTTGTCTGTCCAAGGTTGGTGATCCAGCAAAAACATCTTGTGCTATGAAAAGGGGAGCAGAGAGTGCTCCCCACTGCACTCATGCAGCAGATGTGCTAAAACGAGAAAAAAATAACATCATCAGCAGCAGAGTCCGAGTTGACATCAGTGCTGCTTCTAATTCACCTCTTTCACAGAATTGTCACTTTTCGCCCCCTCTCCCATTTCAGATAATAACTTATTTAATAGATGTCTCCAAGAGAGCTGTTAAACCCCATTGGTAAGAGTCACATCAATGGCCAGTGACCTCTTCAATGCACTGGTCTACAGGCATGGTTATATATTAGAAGACAGAGCTGGTTTACAGCCCTAGTGATGTTTCCAGGGTTAATGATCTGTACCTATGAAGGACCCAGAGTGGTCCAAAAGGAATGTCCTCCTCTGGGTCAGGAGCAGATCTGGCCTCAGCCTTTCAGACATCGCCCTTCGTACTGACACCAGCACAGTGACACTGCTTTCCCTGTTAATAACAAATCCCAAGGTTGCAGAAGCCCTGGCAGTGTGCACAGGGCTATAAAAAGACTATTAATTTTTATACCCTGGGGAGAAGAGGAGTGACTCAGTGTGACCCTGCATCCCCCATGGCAGGGTGTCCTGTAATGGTCCTGGACAGCACTGAAGCCATGGCCCTGCACACCTTCCCTGCTCATCCTCCGGCCACCAAGTGATCCTGGCATGTTTGCTCTTGCCACACCACCCCAGCAACAATCCTGGTTCAATATGAGCTCACACATTATCTACCACTCCTTATCCCAGCAGCAGCAGGGTCCTGGGCTTTCATGCATTGGATACTTTCCCTGTGTTTGTGTTACTGTTGTCCTGGAGCACAGAGCTCTTCTGCTGCTGCCAACACCCTGCACTCCTCCGTGCTGAGAGGGAACAAGCGCCAGGAAAATGAGGTATGTGGTGGTTCAAAGGCTGATGGTCACCATGGTTAACACAAACAGAAGGAGACATGAACTGTGATATCTGACCATAGTCATAGCTGTAAAAATGGGACAAATACATCTCAGACCAACTGAACTGATGAGGCACAGAAGATGATATGGAACTCATGCCTCATGCAGAACTTCAGTTTGTAAAAGCTCCCAAAGGGACACAGATACAAAAATTTAAACTACAGAATCCCTCCTAGAGGACAGGCAATTTTACCACTGTCCAAGGCCAAGGGAAGAGAAGTCCTATGTGAATGCACACCACTGGGTAGAAGGCTACCCCCAGGAGATACACTCTCTGCTGCATCTCAGGCTTTGTAGCTGTTTATTGTAGACCCAAAGGTTTTCCTTTCCTCCACATACTGTGGGAGAAGTCACATTGTAACACACAACACTCTTCTAAGAGCCATAGCAAAATGTCAGGCCTGTTAATAACCAGGCTTTTATTCACTGATTGTCCCATCTTTAACAATTCTCTTCTTATTTTCCTCTTGTCCCACAAATGGGATTGCAAGCTGTTTATTCCTGGCTCTTCCTTACAGACCTTGCTCTCAAACGAGCCTCTTGAAAGGACTAAATGGGAAAGCACCAGATGTATGACATCCTCAAAGAGCTCCAGCAGCCAAGGAAGGACCAAGGGCTGGCACCAGTTTCTGCCTTCCCTCTCACCAAGCTCAAAACCACACAGCGCTTCATGCCTGGGTATTTCTGAGACCTCCACAGAGCAAAACACCACGTTGCTCCTTTCATCCAGCAACACTGCTGAATGCTCCTGAAGCCTCAACAGCTGAGACCCATCTCCCTTTCAATCCTCTAATTTCTAAGCAAGGATGGAAAATTATAAGCCACAGCCAGTGTTACAGTATAGAACCAATTACAGAAGGCATGGAGAGGGCAGTGCTTTGTGCACTCTCTGCTCATGCTTGGATACCAGATCCTTCAAGGACAGCTTCTCCTTTGCCTGTCTCACATTGTACCAGAACAGAACTTCTCTGCCTTTTTAGACCTCCCACCTGGTAGCTTGGTCTCACCAGACAAGGCAGCCAGTGCTTTCCAGAAAGCATCATTGCATCATTTGCAATGACCTCAATTTCTGCCGAGCCACTTCCAAACCAAAAAGTCAAGCCAGAAAGAAACAAAAATCATGACATGACCCTGAAGACATCAGCTCTAAACACGTGACATACAGCCTTTTCTACCAGAATCTCCTTACCTCCAAACCCACCCTATCTCACGAGGACACATGTTAGAAACAGCCCAGTGAGTGTCATCCCTTTTAGAGCCAGGATCTCTGCTCAGCCAGACCTGGTGCTCAGAGCCACATCGCCGCCCAAGGGCAGAGTTTGGCCCATTGCTTCTCTCTCCAGTGCCTGGGTTCTGGATGTTTCTCTGGACACATTCAGTGTATGGACTAAGGGCAAGGATGAAGCTGTTTGGCTCGTGATTCATTCAGCATTGTGGACTCCCTGTCAGCTGCTGTTGGATGTGAGCCATCCCGAACATGTTCAGGCACCGTCCTTGAGAATTCAAGCAGGTATGGCAGGAGGCTTATCACTCAACCCCACAGGGAGGATTTCTCTATTGCAGCTAAAGCAGGCATTTGGCTGGTTGGATTAACCCTTGCTGGCTTCATGGAATGGGCTTCACTGAAAACGAGCATCTTTTTCTCACCTTTTAATTTCTTCTGTGGTGCGGAGACAGCTATGGATCAATGAAAGTGTCTTCATCAATCACCCTGGATATTTTTTGATGGACAGAGGATTGAAATACTGAATCCTTCCTCTGCCATGGTGGGGCATAAAACATTTCCTAATTTCCATCAGGTTATGTGAGGTTTAATCCCAGAGGATACAGTCTACCAGCAGATTAAGTCACGGTCTCATAAATCAATCTGAAAATTTGCCCTTGTTCATCCCAAATTTTCCACAGTTCAGCATCTCCGATGACTCCCATTGCCCTGCTCCTCCCCTGCTCCCCACCTTTGGAGTGTTTATACCAATCAGATAAGCCTTTACATACATAAAAAATAACTTAAAATTTAAAAAGAAAAGTTTGTATTTACAAGTTGAGCCTTGTACTGTTGGAATCAGACTCTAATTAGGTCAGTCATGTTCCCCTGGTAGGGTAAGAATGATAGTGCTGGAAAACAGACAATTTATAAAGACCCAAAAATAACTCATCCTGCTGTTTTGTAAGAAAGATGTGTTTTCTTCGCCCTGTGCTGAGGACATTTGCAATCAAGGCCACTTGGGCACAGTGATACCAGCCACAGACTGCAGCTTGGTCCCACAGGCAAAGCTGGCCTGTGCCTCAATTTCCTCCTACCAAAGGCAGGATATTAATCCTTCCCAATCTGACAGGGCTCTGGTGAGGTCACTTGTATTTGTAAGGCATTTTGTCACTCTTGGCATGAGGCCCCAGACCATATTACACATGCTATTTTTTTTTTTCAAACTTGCCTTTTAGCCTTATCTACACCTTCTGTCAAGTGCACAAAGGGCACAAACTCAAGATTAGCAAAGATCAGGGTGAAGAACAAGTCTGTGGCTTTGTCCCTGCTGCTTTTCCAGGGTGTGTACCAGCTCAGCATGACGGGTGCACAGACCCCCTTGGAAGTTGCACAGTGCAGGGAATTACCTTTGAATGACACCGTGAGCGTCGGTCGCTTCTTCCTCTGAACACATTTTTGTCACACAACCCTGGTTTGCAGTTTCCTTGTTTCTCCACACACGGGTGCAGGTCCTCTGATCCCACAAGACTTCACAGGTTTCAGCACCGCTGACAAATTTGCCTTGTAAAACCTTAAAGAATGACTTCACATGTCTGATTTAGGATTATCCTACCTCGTTAACAAATGGTGATGAACATGCCAACTGCTACTTAATGAAGGTCTCAACCAGCCTGGGAAGTCAGTGGCCACACCAACTTGGCTTGGAGGGACGTGCCCAGCATTCCCAAGTAAACAAGACAGCAAAGCTAAAGAACTCCTGGGGCACAGTGGAAGTGAACAAAAACCCAATAAAAACACATGTTCACACGAAGTTCCTTTTGATTTTGTGGGAAATGCAGGTTTGAAATGAAAATAATTAGTGAGGCAAGAGGAGGAGAGGAAAAATAATAAAAAACAAGAAGCAGGCTTAAAAAAGAAAAAGAAAATAAAAGCAGCAAGGAGAAAAATAAATAACCCTGGAGCAAAAACGCAGAGGGGAAAAAGAGGGAACAAAAGAGACAAATAGCAGGAAAAGGATCAGTAATGAAAGCCCAGATTACTTGATTCAGTCAAGCCACTGCTTGTGCTGTTCAGGGCAGGGCGGGAAGCCAATCTGTTTTCTCTGGTATTGTTTAGGCTACAAATGCTGTGGCAGATTTCCCATCCACTCCCATGTTTAGGTCCGTGCTCCAATCCCAGCCACAAAAACATGTGTGGAGGAAACGCACCCTGAGAAGAGTAAGTAAGGGCTGGAAGCTGGAGGATGACACATTTTGGAGCTGAATGGCCTCAAAAAAAGCACTTCTGCATCTTATGGCAATTTTGCAGAATAATGTCTCGTTCACAAAATGCTGTGGCGGGAGGATTTTCATCTTTAAAATGGGTACAGTGATACCTCTGGGTTATTACAAGCTCCCAGCCGGAGAGGGCTGCCTGTATTTACACAACACTGCATTATTTATAATATCCCTTTCAGGAGCAGGAGAATATGAATTCTTTCCTTCACAGTTTGACTTTTTTTCCTTCCCTTCTCCCATTTGGAAAACATTGATTTCTTGCCCTCATTTCTCCCACCAGAGCTGTAGCTGACCTGACTGAGTTTAGTTTACTTCTCTGGGCCAGATGCTCAGTGGGTGAAAAGCACAACCACCCACCCTGGAATAACAGAGCTGCTCTGATTTCCCCCAGCTGGGATCTGGTCCTGCCTCCCCAACATCTGCACGTTTGTGGGAACTGATTAAAGGCTGCTACAACACTGCAGGGGAGGACAAATATTATTTGCAAGGGGACAAAGGCAATAAAAGTGCTGGCCTCATGACTTTCTGTTTCTAAGTGGGTTCTGACTCTCTTGTATTAAGGATCTGGAGGAAGTTTATCACTGTAAAATAATAAAATATTTAAAGCTGATCAAATTTTGGGTGGAAACTATTTGAGAGTGTCAGTTTAGCTGAGAAGCAGCAGGGGTTATAAGATTTTACAGTCCAGAACAAACAGTGAGGAATTTCAGCCCGTTACATTTTCACTGTCCTGAGCTGTTAGCTCATGAGCACACTGGCAAGGCACCCAGAAACTTCTTCAATAACAGAAGAGTCTAGAAAAGTACTTTTTCCCCTTCCACAAAATAAATGTACCAAGGACACAGCAGTTTCAAAAAGGGTTTCTTTTAATCAGAAGCAAGTTTGCAAAAGAAGAAGTAACTTTCTCATATAAAATAGTGGAGTGGTGAAGGTGAGGCTAACAAGAGGTGTGGAACAAAAATCCAGGGTGAATCTCCA